CTCCTTTTTTCTTTCAAATACATGTCATTTTTTAATACAAGTTGAACAATTCTCATATAAACCCTGAATAGTGTTTAGAAACGCGTTGAAATTTTTCAAATACATGTTGAACATTTGTGAAATGCACACTGAATAATTTTTATTGTAACTTTTTTTCAGATACATAATGAACATTTTCCAAATAGACGTTGAACAATTTTTTGAATGAATATTAAACATTCGCCAAATGCACATTGAACATTTTTAAAATACCCGGTAAATATTGTTTTAACACACATTGAATATTTTTCATAAATGGCATGAACATTTTTTTAGACGTGCGAAACATCTTTAAGTGTTACGATTTTTTTGAAAGGTATGAAACATTTTTCCACAATCACGAGAACAGGTGTGTGCATGTTTTATGGGCGGTACTAGGCGCCGGCGCACCGGTCCAATTTTGGGCCGGTCGTACCAGCATCGTCCGATAGAATAATGCATAGCCGTACGATTTCCTCGTCTTCTTTCGTTAGGCATCTTCTTTTAGAAAAAAAATCCATCCCGCCTCCATGGATGAGCTATGCGCCGCCTTGAAGCACCGCCTGGAGCACTCGCCTGTTGCCGCCCTCCCCACTGGTCGCCGGGCACCGTCGTCACTGCCGGGCGGCGGTGGCTGTGTCGCTGCCGGTCGTCGTCATGGTGGAAACAAAAATACAGCTGGATCCAACAAAAACAGAACATGGTGGAAGCAAAAAATTGGAGCTCCTTTCAGTTAAAAAAACATGGTGATAGCAGAACAATTTGCTAGATTTTAGCTTCCAGTAATGACAGCGCTCGGGTGTCTAGTTGTAGCATCTCTTCGTCTCTGGCTCGCGGGGGGTCAGAGTGCCAAGCAGCAAAAATCGGAAGCAGCAAAATTCTTCCAGCAAAAATCTTCTCCACGGATCAAAGTCCGGTGGTCGGTTGAAGCAAAATCAAAAATCCTTCCAACACAATCAAACTTAGGTTCCAGCAAAAACGACATGAGCATTTGAGAGCTCTGCAGTCGTTGAAGCAAAAAAAAAATATCTCGGTTCCAGCAAAAAAATACATCGGTTCCAGCAAAAACAAAATTGGTTCGGCAAAAAGAAAACACATTCGCAAAAATGGCCTCCCCTCTTGCAGCTCCTCCAGTAGCCAATTGCAGCTCCAACGTGCACGGTTGCAGCTCCCGACATCGAACGGTGTTGGATGCAGCACTCTTCGCCGCTGGATGTAGCTTCCTCCGGCAAGTCATCGACCTTGTAGCACACACAACAGCTGGTTGTAGCAAATCAGGGCACCGGTTCCAACAAAAAGCAAAGATGTTCATAAAAATCGAATGGGGGTGGTAGCAAAAAATGAAAGGGGTTGTAGCAAAATCAAAGGTGGATCTAGCAAAAAAATACCTGGTTCCAGCAAACCCCCTCGGTTCCAGCACGAACTCGCCGCCGCCGTGGCCGGTTGCAGCTTGGCCATGGCGACTGGCGCACCCTGGCTGTGGCGGCCATGGAGAGGGCGCACATCCAGCTGTTGGCGGAGGCGGACAAGGCGACGAGTGTGCCCGTGGCTGCGAACGGCCATGGAGAGGGATGCATCCCGCGTCGTCGATCCACAGGAGGCGCATCGAGTCGCCGACGGCCATGGCGATGAGCTCGCCTCCTGGCTGCGGGTGGATGGGGAGGAAGACGCGGCCGGTTGGATAGGAATACGGATAAGCATCGAATGGATAAGAAGACGTGAGTCACGGGTGGTGCCTGGCCCCCAACAGCCACGCGTTTAATGCCTGTGTGTAGCTGTAGCCACGCGTTTAGTGCTTGTGTGTAGCTGCGCTAGGCGAGTGAGCGGTGTGACCGGCTGAACGTTCGGCCGGTCCGCCGTTTCTAAACATTTTCCATGTTTTATTTGTATTCTATTGATGCTCCATTTTAAGCCAATAAAATTCACCCTTTATTCAAAAAAAAATGAGTTGAGCAAAAATCTCATGTATATTATCGACTTTTAGCTGGGCTTAACATCGACTCCCCCCGCAACACAAGTGAACCCAGTTCACATTCTTGAAGTGGTTTACTATTGCTGATCTTTTTAGGACCATTTCTCTTGCTGATGAATCGTGCTTTATCTAGGGGCACCATGCACCGTGGGCTGCCAAAAAAAAAGTTCTCGGCCCACGGTGAGGCAACTGAAAAAATCAGCAACTCTTCCTGGATTTGTACCTCCTGGCGCAGCTCCCAAACGCCATCAGATTCAAACAACCAAGTCCAGCCATCATCCAGAAGAAGCGGTCCAGGTGTCCCTCGTTCAGGTCGTCGGGGATCCACCCCGGCGCGCCGCCAGTCGCCGTCGCCCACTGCACGGCCGTCAGTAGGAACGAGCTCAGGTAGCCGCCAGCCGCTATCGCGAGGAGCCCAAGCGCCGTGCACACGGTCTTCATCGCGGCCGGCGCCTGGCCGTAGAAGAAGTCGAGCTGCCCGATGGTGGTGAGCACCTCGCCCACTCCCACCAGCGCGTACTGCGGCGCCTGCCACAGCACGCTCGTCGAGTTTGGCGCCGCACGGAGGCGCGCCGTCTCTAAGAGCGCCGCGGCGGACATGGCGAGCACGGGCATGGCGAGTCCGGCACCGATCCTCTGCAGCTCCGAGATGCCCTTCTCGCTCCCGGTGAGCCTCCTGGCAGTCGGAACGAAAGCCCGGTCGTAGAGCGGGACCAGGAGGATGATGGTGAGTATATCGAAGGTGGACATGGATGCCGGCGGGACGCGCACGGAGCCGACGGTGGCGTCCATCGCCATGCCTTGCTCGACGAACGTCGACGTGATCTGCGCCGACACGGCATAGAAGAACACGACGGTCGCCCAGAGCGGCAGCATCCGCACGAGAATCTTGAACTCCTCGACCTGTGTCACGACGCAGAGTCTCCACGGGCTGGTCCGCGCTGGCGCTGCTGCCGCCTCCACCTCCTTGTCGGAAGCCACGACAATGGCAGCCTTGTCGAAGAATCTAATCAAGCAAGCAGCATATCAAATCAGTCTAGTTGTAACCAAGCACGCGGAGGTAAGCTCAGAGGATTGTAGTAACTGACCGGAGATCAGTGGTGTGCTGGATCCTCGGAACTCCGGCGAGGTCGTCCTCCCGCATGTCGTAGAGCAGAGAGCTATCAGCCGGCGTGTCGACGCTGAACTTCCTCACGGCAGCGACGACGACCTGGCACACTCTGGTGAGCGGGCTGCCACGGGTTCGCTGAAATCTGTACGTCCGCGACGCCGCAACCAGGCAAGATAGGCCGGCGGCCAGGACGAGCGCTGGGATGGTCAGGCCCAGTGCCCAGCCATAATGATCCTGCACCCACACGATGCCCGTGCTTGATATGAGCGATGCGCAGTTCATGTTGAACACGTACCAGTTGAAGAAGGAGCCCTTGGTGGCGCGCTCCGACAGATCGCCGTCGTCGAACTGGTCGGCGCCGAAGGACATGAGGCACGGCCGGAGGCCGCCCAATCCAATGGCAATCATGTATAGGCCGACAAACAAGACGAACCCCTGAACCGTAACCATGTCCGACGAGGTGAGGCCGTTCTTGACGAGCAGCGGGAGGTACGCCGAGAATGCTGTCATCAGCATGCCCTGCCCAAAAAGCACAGGCACCAAATTCTAACGATCTTGCAGAATGCTATCTGAATTTTATCAAATAGGACCAGGCAGGATGTAGACTGCAGAGTGGTGATTAATTGAAGTGCTCCAGGATGAAAAATTCTTAATTGAGAGCGGTCGGGAGGAGGATCAAGTAACGTACTGCGACGCCGATGAAGCAGGATACGACCATGGTGTGGTACCTTCCGCAGTAGGAGTCGGCCACGACAGCGCCGCCGAGGGGCATGAGGAAGCAGGTGGCCTGCCAGGTGGACACGTTCCTCGCCGCGGCGACGTTGCTCTGGCCCAGGACGCCGGTGAGGTACGTGACGAGGTTGCAGGAGATGCCGAAGAACGCCAGGCAGTAGCAGAACTCGGTACCTGCAAGATTAAAACTTGAATTAATCATCACGCAAAGAATTTTACTACGAAGAACAGGTGAACGCGACATAAATTACCAAGAACTGAGCGGCACGCACGCCATCCACCTGTGCGATTCTTCAGAGCCGGGTTCCCGTCGAAATCAAGGGACCCGTCGGTGGTGTACGCCTCCGCTGCCTGCGACGGCAATCCCCACCAAAATTAACAGCGAAACATAATCCATGCCAGGGGTTGAAATAATACGCAGGCGAAAGGGAGAAAGAACATGAAGGAGTTGTAGAGAAAATAATCACGACGAAGGAGGCAGAGGCTAGGGGGGCGAGACCTCGGCGGGAAGGCGGGCAAGCAGGGCCACGGTGTGCTCGCCAATGGAGGCCATGGCGGGAGCTTGGGAGCCTACGCCTCTCGCTTGTCAAGTGCTGCAATTGGCCCGTGCAGCCTCCCCACGTTGTTGGCATCGAGAAAATTTCCGCGGTCTATCTATAATTAAAGAGCCGAGAGCATCTCCAATGGGACAATGGGAAGCGTTTGTCTGCACTCTTATGCAGGAAAGATTAAAGATCACAAAACTAGAAAATATCTAACGCCCTAGCTTTCAGCACTAGACGAGCAACTTCAACAGCTCCTGTAAAAAAAATTCCCGTAAAGGTGAACCTCTTTCCGTAAAATTTGTTTTATTTCTATTTTTTGTTAAATAAACCTAGCTAATGGCGTAGGACCCGCATGTCATTGAGACGTGTGTGTGTGTGTCCGTGAACTGCATGGTGCGGTGCAGGGCGGTGGCGCAACGGCGCACCGGCGCGGAGGCGGCAGGAGCGCGTCGAGGCGTTGGCCCGTGCGTGGGGGCAGCGCGACGGCAGCAGTGGCGGTACTGCGGCCGTCCTGCCGCGGAGGCCGGCACGGGGAGACGCAGCATGGGAGGCACGACGGCGGCTCCAGGCCTTGCTGCGGCGGCGGCGGTAGAGGGACGATGCGACAAAGCAGGGAAGTGGAGGTGCGGTTGCAAATCGGCGACACGACTAAGCGGCGTTAGGCGACGTGCCAGAGTGGCGGCACGCGACACTCATCATGAACTTTCAAGCGGTCTTTTACCCGTCAAATTATAGGGGAAGGGCCATCTTTCCGTAAACTTGCAGGACGAAGGAGGTGATTATACATGATCCCGTAATATTTTTCTGGGTTTACGGAATCGGTGGAGGTTTTTTTTGCCCCAACTTTCCTTAAACGATAGTTCTTTAAGAGATGCGAGATCTATTGGAGTTGTTCACGACATACGCTAATTAAACAGCCAAGCTGCCTTGTGCGGGGAAGAAAACGATATGTGAATGTGGACGCTGCAACCGCCAAGGCACCAACGGAAAGTATTAGAGCAACACTAACACCATTCATCAAAACGGACATCATTAAATATCCACAAACACGTCACGGCGTCCAACCATATTCATCAAATATCGGTCCTTTGAACAATGGAGAGAGGATAGAAGAGAAGAGCATAAAAATGTGTTTGTGGCGGGGTTTAAGGTTGAGTTGGTGTGTCCTCGGCATGTTCAGATTTCTGTTGAATGACAAAAAGTGTCTGAATCATCACGGCTCAGACACTTATATTAGGAGTGATTTGGTGATTCATAGTTGCCCCCCGAGCCATAAATCACAGACGAATAAAAATCAAAGAATGTTAGCTCGTGACTATGTCTAACCTAACTGGCCCTGACCCCGCCGCCGCCCCAGCCCCAACTCCGTCTGCCTCCTCTCCCTCCAGCGATGCCGCTCCACCCATCTCCCGCGACCCTCGCCTTCTCTGCCAAGGGAGGGAAGGGAAGGGAAGGCCCCAGATCAACAACAGTGGTCCGAAACCCATCCGAAACCTAACCGCCTCCCAGGTCGCCTCCGCTCGGGCGACTCTGGAGGATCATTCCCCGTCCCCTCCAGTCCCCTTCATCGGCGTGCCCCTGGTCGTGGCCGCCGCCGATGCTGGCAGCGGAGGCGGCGCCCTTCTCGTCTAAAGACGAAGGGGAGGAGAGTGCACCGTGGCGGCGGCTCCATGGGCGGTTGTGGAGTGGTGGCAGCGGTTGAAGGGTGGCGCGACCTATAGCTGTGGCCTGAAGCCGGAATGGCGTCTTCGTGGCGGGTGGTGCGCAACGTCGGCACCAATATCCAGCGGCGCAGTTGTGCGTCAGATCAGGGCCTAAGGGTCTGATTTGGGTTGCCCCCTGCCACGGACTGTTTGTGGTCGTGCGTTGCGGCTGCCTTCTCCCTTGCTGCTCCGACCGACAGTGTGGGGGCCTGCTGGTGTGCTCGAATAAAGGCGGCGATCCAAGGGTCCTCTTGCGCCAAGATGAAGATCTGCCTGACGCCTGTCCTTCCTGATCTGGCTGGAGTAGCGGGTTCCGGAAGGCTCCGCCGGCGAACTCCCATGGGCGTGTTATGCCTGGAGATTACTGGATCGGGTGGGATTTGGTCGTGCCTATTGGTTCTCGGTTAAGGAGCGAGCGGCGCAAAGCTCTACTATTTGTTGCCATCAGGAGATCTATTTTGCTCCATGGTGAAGTCAGAGGCGGAGAACGTCATGGAAGCCGAGATTAGAGGACTAGTAGTGTTGATTGAAGCCTACGACATTGAGGAACTTGCTTGAAGTTTTGGGATTCGTAGCAGCGGTATGTAAGTGGGAGCAACATCACATGCATTGTTTTAAGAGCGAGGATTATCTCCGGGGTGAAAATCTACGATCGGGCGACGACGGCGTTGGTGCACTGCTTCCTCCTTGGAGGCGTCCCTTTTGAGGAAGATGGATATCAGGTGTTGTTTTGGTGGTGGTTGTGCTGCTGCTGCAAGGCCCAGAACACTATAGTGGGACTTTCTTTTTTAGTTTTTTTGGCTATGTGCATCCGTCATGTAATTAGGGCATTGCGTTGTTGAAGAGACTGGGTGTAATTGGTATGTTCGTAATATTAATATATACTCCTTATTGAAAAATGTCTAAGCTAACTTTTTGTAGCGATGGGGCTCGACATCCACTGGTATTACTTTTTCCTAAATGTTAGGTCTTAAGCCTATTCATGACCTGCAGAAAACTTATCTGCTTTTTTGGCCCCTTTCAGAAATGACTACCCGTAAGGCGTATCACATATGTACAGAGGCCAAATGGCTTGTCGTCTGCTTCGCCTGGTCCACTTCCGACGTGATCACCCTGCTGGCGGCGAGTTACTACTCCACCTACTGATGCTCCTAAAGGGGATGGTGTTGTAGGCGGCGTCGGCCTGCGCCTCCTGGAACTGCTCCTGCCGCTCCTCTCGCACCATCTCCATGTAATGGGCACGAGTCTCGCTGATGGTCTTGGTGCAATGCATCAGTGAGGGTGGTAGGGAGGAGGAGGAGGGTGGCATCGGCTCATCGTCGGTCGCGTCGTCCTCCGGCTGCTTGCCGGCCAGCCAGCCGGAAGCAATGGCGGCCATCTCCTTCTTCTGGTCCGTTGTCAGCCCATCCCCTAGAGCTTTGGAGTGCGAAGAAGCCATGGTGGGAGTGGTGCAGAGAGGAGAAATGATCGAAGGAGGGTGACTGCGGCTATGACCGGGGCAACCGTTTATATAGCAATGGTGAGCGACAAAGGGATGGAGGGATGGCCCCGAAGTAGCTGCCTCGGCAACTGTGTGACATTAATGTGGGTGGCAGGTGAACGGATGGCGACCGTCGTGTCATTTGAATGCGAAGCAGACACATGCACTGGGAAGCGGCGCGGGCGGCATTCTCATGGCCGATGCACCGCCTCAGTGCCGGTGTCAGTGAGAGGCCACGTCCGCTTTGGCCGGACATGAATGAGGCGCTCTGGAGCAGCGCTGACCTTTCGGGCGGGAAGCGTGCGGGGTGAGGGAGGAGGTTTTATGGGTCAGGGTGGTCAGACACGGGCTTGGGAGCGGTCAGCCCCTCACATTTGTCTTCTGTTTGTGGGGAAACTATGTCCGGACTGCCTCGTGGACCGATACAGGTCCTTACTGGATGACACAACACGTCTGAACAGCGCGATCCGAATTATGCGTGCATTTTGAGAGTCATTAGTGACTTCAGACATTAATGTTATAAGATAGTTATCCGCCGGAACAATAATCTTGCCTATCTATTGAAAAGAAGTGAATTAGCACCAACAAATTTATTAATGTGCCAGAGCAAATTGGTACAAGAAACCGTGGATACACTTCTTGATAATGGGTCCCGTAGGCAACTAGTTGGAGATGCCTGACACATAAGACAGAGACCCCATTATTATTTAGTCTCTAAAATTGGAGATGGGGACCAATAAAGCTCTCTGAAATTCCCCGCAAAAAAAAAGATAGAGACCCCATTCGGCTCTATCTGAAGTAGTAATATTGTTGCACATCGCCTTGGTCGTTGACGGCCAGTCCACGTGGGTTTCGCCTTGATCCTCATGCAGTGACGGATCCAGGAATTCAATATTGGGTGTTCAAATTTTTTTTTTGCACCCTAATAGCAAAGGTTATAGGGTGGACAGCGCCGTCGTAAAGGCGAGCGTGCGCGTCGGTGCTGCTTGTGGACGTCCGACAATGTCGGTGTGGTGGTCGGAGACGTCCGGCAATAGACGAATTTCAAAATATAATTCACTCATTTTGCTCCACATGTAGTCCATATTAAAATCTCTACAAAGATTTATATTTAGAAACAAAAGGAATATTATCTAGCTAGTACTCCATCCGTTCCTAAATATAAGTCTTTGAAAAGATTCCACTATGGACCATATACGGAGCAAAATAAGTGAATCGATACTCTAAAATGCATCTGGATACATCCGTGTGTTTTATAGTGAAATCTCTACAAAAACCTATATTTAGGAACGGAGGGAGTAGATGAGAGGAAGGAGAAGTGGGAGAACAATGCTACAGAGCGAGCCTGTTACGGTGCCAAACGGCCTAACACATGCATGCTTACATGCAGGACACGTTCAGCAGGCTGCTCCTGAACTGGGCCTTTTTTTCTGTCGTATATGCATGTACATGTATGGATGATTTTTCTGTAAAAATATTTGGGTGTACATCTGTACACCCATGCCCTATGGTGGATCCGCCCCTGTCCTCATGTCGGGTAAATCCACGGGCACGAGGTGGCACGAACTGCAGATTCTTTTTTGTCAACCGATGCAACGATTTGGCTCTCGGGCTAAGATGAGCCTGGGCATGAACAGTAAAACCGTCAAATATAGTAAAAAGGTCAAAAGGATCTGAATTTTTTTGCAAGCAAGATGTTCAAATGCGTGATCTCCTGTACAAAATTTCATAAAATTTAGAAATTTGAGGAGCTCCTGGCAAAAAAGACATGCTTCGGGTGTCTAAGAAACTTTTGAAAATCGATGGTTCATGCTTGATTTTGCTT